TGCATTGGCATTTGGCAGTTTTGGTATGGTTCTCTGCAGCTGCGCTTCGCCTATTGGTGCCAATCCTATGCAAGTTGGCACTTGGCACAGTGGAAGTCCAGTGCCTTTTTTTTTTTTTTGGAGAACTCAGTCCAATGCAAGTAGACTGCAAGATCCCCCCCTATCCTCGCCCAATTGGGCCCATGAAAACAAACACTATGTTGGAAATGGAGAAAGGTGATGCATGGTTGAACGTGATTATATTATTGATTGGATGAAGAGAGGTTTAGTACTAGTATATAATAACAGATACAATAGCAGACTATAAGCTAGCTCTAAACACATATTGAGAAGATGAAAGAATATAGAGATGAGCGACGGGCTACACATTTGTAGCCATCTGCAGCATGAACTCTAAGATGTAATGTCTGTATGATAGGTATGACCAGATAATATATAATAGTATATATATTTATAGGTAACTATTGTATGAATTGGCTATTAAATTGACTATATATGACTTAGAGTTAGTAGTTGGCTACTTGGCTATACTATTAAACATGCTTTAAATACCTAACGGTGACTATTAAAACTTTCACATGCTAACTACTGAATTTGGAGTATATATTACTAGATGTCAGTCTTATTTTTTTCCCCCTTTCCTTTTCCTAGCAATAAGTCAAATTTCATTTCCTGTTATTTCAAATAGTGCACAGCTCAAATAGACACATCAAACATGTGTAGTATAGGAATGGCACTTTGTACAATGTAATCATGGAAAATGATCACGCAACACCACACATATACGCACACCCGGGATTGTATTTTCGTGTTTTCTTAACACAAGCTCAAACTGACGGAGACAGAGAGCAGAGATAAAATCCATTAATTTCGCTTAGAAAATCCCTAATAAAAATATACATACATATATATAATCTAAACATAATTAATGGTCATTCCTAATGTAATAAAACATATATAGCTGACCAGTAAAATAACATATCCATATGTCTCAAAAGATAATAAAATAGACACTGATAGTTGTTTTGTTTCCCGTATGGCAGAATGGCACACGTTTTATGATTTTAAGTTAAAAAATGGTTATGAACTACAATTATTTGTACATGTTAATTGACCTTTTATTTCAAAGTAGACGCCATGCACCTACCCACCCACGAGCACCACCACCTCTGCCTCAGCAGGACCGTGGCGGGTAGGGTTGTAAGCGGGCCAACCCACAAATTTATTTATAGGTCAAATAGATGATAACGAATGGATTTTTGTGTCGTGATTCGATTTGCGTATTTAGAGAGATGCAAGTGGATCAATCTATAAACTCATTTATATGTCAAATTAATAGGTAACCCGCGAGTCAAATCCGTGGATTACCTACTAATTTTATCTATAAGCGGGTTCGCAGCCAAGCCCGCTTACTCGCTAGCGGCAGGCAAACGGCAGCACCGTTTTGATATCGCTTGCCGCCATGGAGCCGCGGCAAGCAGAACACTCTTGTTTTGGCTGCAAATTAAACACTGCATTTAAACTGACGTTCTTTGCTAACAACATATACTTCTCAATTCTTTTTTGATTGCTCCTCTGGTCTGATCTGACTATATATGTATTTCACTTTAGTGAAAATTATCTTTGAAGAGTTTGTAATTGAGCAACATGCATGCCCAAGAACCCAAGTGCTCCACTGCTCATACTACCACAACGACATCTGAAAGCAGTTGGCATGCCCTCTTGCAACTGTATTCAGGTGGTACGGCTGTTGTTCATCCACTGTTTGTTGATGCTGGCAGATGGCCAGATCCAACGATGATGTGCTCGTCGTCGGCTGAAATAAGCCGAGCAGTGAATTCGATGAAAATTCAGAGGGAATTTGATAGATTGAAGCATTGAAATTTGTTGTGCTGGAATATTGAGCAAACCTACGTCTGGGTCCTCTGGGAGTGAACAACATACACCATGAGCTGGCACATCTTTTGTTTTTTGTTTTTTTGTCTGACGAGGAGTTAGCAATTTCTTACCAAAGTTTTGCATGTTTAAATTTCCGGTTACCTTATTCAGAAATCCATAACCACCGTTTAATTAGCTTTGAAAGGGAGTGTCCTATGGGAAACAAAAATATGGCTACCACCTTAAGGGTGTGTTCGGATGCCTCTTTTCCCAACCATTTCTCTCGTTTTACGCGCGCACGCTTTTTAAACGGCTAAACGGTGCGTTTTTTATAAAAAGTTTCTATATGAAAATTGCTTAAAAAATCAAACTAATCCATTTTTTTTAAAAAAAATTAGCTAATACTTAATTAATCACGTGTTAATCGATCGTTCCATTTTCCGTGCTCAGTATGCTGGAGGGGAATGAGAACCAGCTAACACACCCTAACGGTGGTCAAATACGAAACCCTCATTTTTTAATAAATGGTTACAGTTGACTTTTTAACAAATATTTAACCATTCGCCTTATTCAATTTATTTTGCAAATAAAAAAAATTTAAATCATACTTAGAGAACATTTGATGATGAATCAAGTCACAATAAAATAAATAACATTTGATGATGAATCATTATATTTACCAATTGCAAATTATCTGCCAAGTTTCTTTTTTTTTTTGATTGGGGGGGGGGGGGCACAAGCTCAAGTTGTGTCACACGAGGCTCTGTCCTTGACTTAATTCTAATGTATAGGATCTTTAATATTTTTAGGTTCGTCATTGTGTGATAGTGTAGTGTGTGATACACACACGATAGATGTGTCTATTTGAGCTGTACTATTTCAAAGACGAGGAAATCAAATTTGACTTGAAGCTATATCAAAAACAAAAACCTAAAAAGGAAAAGACGGACAGCTCATAGTTTAGTCGCATGTGACAGTATTTTTACCCCTAGTCACCGTTAGATTAGAAACCTAACTCTCTCAAGTCTTATCCATTATTAAATTAGTTCAACCACAGTTGGACCTCATCTTTTCGCTTATACTTATACTTATTAGCTAAAATTTAAATTTTCAATCTTAAATTTAAAGTTGATTTTGGGTTTTTCATCGAAGTTTATTTTCCAGTCTTTACTTCTAGATCGCTAAGAGCAAGTTTAATAGTATAGCCAACTACTAGCTCCAAATCATCTAGGGTGTAGCTATATTTATGGCGCCATATTTTTCATCAAAAAATAGTCGGCATGTATTTACATTGGAAGTTCCTAAATTACATATGTAATTTTAGTGTATTTACAATGTAAATCTCAAGAGTACATATGTAAGTCTTAAAATTACATATGTAAATTCAAAAATTACATACTAATTACATATGTAAGTGGGGTATAAATGAGTTGTAACTACTCTCTAAGTGGCTTAAAAAAATGACTGTAGCATATGTCGCCACAATTATAGCCAATCCGATCATCTATAGCCAGTTTATATAGTATTTTTCTCTGTACTATTAATACATGATCCCACATGTCATACACACATTACGTCTTGGAGTCCGTGCTGCAGCTAGCTATAGATTTGTAGCCTGCTACTCTTCTCTCTTATCTTTTATCTCTTTAAAATATATTTATAGCTGGCTAATAGTGTGCTATTGTACCTGCTAACACGTATATAAAAGTTTTATTCAAAAATTACTTTTCGTTTGCAAATATATCGTTTGACTTATTACACGAATAAATGAAACGATGGGCTAAGTTCAAAAGTGTCGCAATTAACAAGCATATACTCCCTGTGTACTACTCCCTCCGTTTAAAAAAGGGCAACCTAGGAGGGGTTACATGCTCCTAGTATCTGTCCAGATTCGTTGTTACTAGGAGGGGATAGTTGTCTTTTTATGGGATGGTCACATCGTTATTTTTTTTATGGGGAGTACGTTCCAACTTCCAACTTCCAAGGTTAGTGTACTGTGTTTTGTTTTTTTTTTCACGTGCCAATTGGCAATTTTCCTTTCGTACGTGTGGGCTCTCGTCTCCGCCAATAAGAAAGCGTTGCAAATGTCCCAAGTTGGCAATTTTCCTTGCGTACGTGTGGGCTCTCGTCTTCGTCAATGCTGCTCAAGTGCTCATCATTTGTTGGATTAGGCGGTGCTTGGATCTAGGGACTTAACTTTAGTCTCTATGTTTAGACACTAATTTAGAGTATTAAATATAGACTACTTACAAAACTAATTACATCAATGAAAACTAATTCGCGAGACAAATTTTTTAAGCCTAATTCATCTTGCGAATTAGTCCAAGATTATAGATGGGTTTTATTAATAATCTACGTTTAATATTTATAATTAATGTCAAACATCAGATGTGATAGGGATAAAATTGTAGTCGTATCTAAACAGCGTCGTACTCTACTCCACTCTACCCCAAGGTCCCCCACGCTTTACACGGGCGCCAGGCTTTGGATCTCGATCCACGGGCTGCTGATCAAAAGCACGTGGTGCCGGTTTCTGCGTCCGTGTGGTCACCGATCAGCTCCATGCTGGTTCCTGTATAATTTTGGCCCCTGGCTAACAAGCCAATTTGGAGATGGTGAGAGTGATACTCCCTCCGTTTCTGATTGATCACCTAACTAAAAATAAAATCAGAATTTATAGATTGATTGTTACTCCGTACATAACCTTGTCTTCTTCGTGTGCCGTGCAAAATTGTGTATATAACCTCTCCGGCAAAAAGAAAAAGAATTGTGTTGGCTTATTAGCGCATGATTAATTAAGTACCCGTCCGTTCCAAAATATAAATATTTTTGGACTTCGACACATTCTTCGAGATACTACTTTGACCAACAATATCTATAAGATAAATATGTTTTAAATAAAAAATTGCATATTATGATAGTTTGTTTAATGATAAAAAATTGCAGGAATTCAACCATGCGGATACAGTCACTACTACTTACGCGCCTTCGACATGTACTTAAGAAATAAAAACACTGAAATTAAAGTCATCCGGCCCCACCCTCACCCTCTCTAGCTGATGATTAGTCGATTACTGTTTTCCTATAGCCATCGTTATACACGAGTTTCTGTGGTGTTAGCGTTGATCTTTTGCTAATCTCTGAATCTAGCACGCGGTCGGCTGCCTATAAATTTGGTTGCTCGTCAAGCCTCTCATGCCACCATTAATTGCGAGCTGCTTCTTCTTCCCGTTCTTGTCAAGACTGAAACTCACTGGATCATCGAGGAGTGGCAATGGCGGAGCAGCAGCTGATGCATGGCACCCTCGACGCCACCATCTTCGAGGCCACCAACCTCACCAACCCCACCCGCCTCACCGGCAGCGCCCCCGAGGGCATCCGCAAGGTCAGCGACCGATTCCATGGAGCTAGATCGATCGAACCTCGCCAATGTTTTTCTACTTCTTGGTTGCCTTCTCATGGTGTTTGTGTTTATGCGTGCAGTGGTGGGAAGGGGTGGAGAAGACGACCGGGGTTGGGCAGGGCGGGACGCGGCTGTACGCGACGGTGGATCTCGGCAAGGCGCGGCTCGGCCGGACGCGGGTCATCGACGACGAGCCGGTGAACCCGCGGTGGGACGAGCGCTTCCACCTCTACTGCGCCCACTTCGCCGACAACGTCGTCTTCTCCGTCAAGGTCTCGCTGCCCATCGACGCCGCGCTCATCGGCCGCGCCTACCTCCCCGTCGGGGACCTCCTGTCCGGCGAGGTCGTCGAGCGCAAGCTCGACATCCTCGACGAGCACAAGAATAAGCTCCCCCACGGGCCGACCATCCACGTCCGTCTGCAGTTCAAGGACGTCGCCGTCGACGGCGACGGGAAGTGGTGGGGCGCCGGCGTCGGCAACGCCGGGTACGCCGGCGTGCCGTGCACCTACTTCAAGCAGCACACCGGGTGCGGGGTCACCCTGTACCAGGACGCGCACGTGCCGGACACGTTCGCGCCGACGATCCCGCTCGCCGGCGGCGCGCACTACCAGCAGGGGCGGTGCTGGGAGGACGTGTTCGACGCCATCAGCAACGCCAAGCACCTCATATACATCACCGGCTGGTCGGTGTTCACCGACATCACGCTCATCCGCGACCCGTCCCGGCAGCGCCCCGGCGGCGACGCCACCATCGGCGAGCTCCTCAAGCGCAAGGCCAGCGAGGGCGTCCGCGTGCTCATGCTGGTCTGGAACGACGTCACGTCGCTGCAGATCCTCCAGTCGCTCGGCATCAAGTGGGGCTTCAGCCAGACGCACGACGCCGAGACGTTCCAGTACTTCGAGGACACCGACGTCCACTGCGTCGTCTGCGCGCGCCACCCCGACGCCGGCGGCAGCATCGTCATGGGCGTCAAGGTGCCCTTCGCTTCCACCCACCACCAGAAGACCGTCATCGTCGACCACGACATGCCGGCCGGCGCCGGCTCCGGCCTCCGCAGCATCGTCAGCTTCGTCGGCGGCCTCGACCTCTGCGACGGCCGCTACGACACGCAGTCCCACTCCCTCTTCCGGACGCTCGACGCCGCGCACCACAAGGACTTCCACCAGCCGAGCATCGACGACGCCGAGCTCGCCAAGGGCGGGCCGAGGGAGCCATGGCACGACATCCACTCCAGGCTCGAGGGCCCCGTCGCCTGGGACGTCCTCTACAACTTCGAGCAGCGGTGGCGGAAGCAGAGCGGCCACGGCGACCTCCTCGTCAACCTCACCGCCCTCGAGCACCTCATTGCGCCGCAGTCCGCGATGAAGCTCCCCGTCATCGGCAACGACGACCACGAGGCGTGGAACGTGCAGGTCTTCCGCTCCATCGACGGCGGCGCGTGCGACGGCTTCCCGAGCAGCCCGGATGCGGCGGCGCGGCTCGACCTCGTGAGCGGGAAGAACAACGTGATCGAGCGGAGCATCCAGGACGCGTACATCCACGCCATCCGCCGCGCCAGGGACTTCATCTACATCGAGAACCAGTACTTCATCGGGAGCTCCTACGGGTGGAGGCCCGACGACGGCGTCAGGCCGGAGGACGTCGAGGCGGTGAACCTGATCCCGAGGGAGCTCTCCCTCAAGATCATGAGCAAGATCGCCGCCGGCGAGCGGTTCACCGTCTACGTCGTGGTGCCGATGTGGCCGGAGGGCCACCCTGACAGCCAGGCCATGCAGGCCATCCTCGATTGGCAGAGGAGGACGATGGAGATGATGTACGCCGACATCGCCGGCGCGCTCAAGGCGAAGAGGATGGACGCCGACCCGAGGGATTACCTCACCTTCTTCTGCTTGGGAAACAGAGAGGTGAAGAGGAGTGGTGAGTATGTGCCCGGACATCACCCAAGAGATGGCACGCCATATGCCAAGGCACAAAAGACGCGCCGGTTCATGATCTATGTCCACTCCAAGATGATGATAGGTATGCTCAAATCTAGCCCCGCAAATTTCAACCCTTCAATCTAGTAGTAAATCCTTTCCAAATTCACATCAAATTCTAGCTGATATAGGATAAACTAACTGGGTGGTCCACGCAATTGCGCGGCTAGCACCCATATAAAATTATATATTTTTAATATGATTTTACTTAAAATTTATTAAATAATTATCTCATTGTCTTAAAATTTTGAAAAAGACCAAACATTATCATCCCTTGCTACCCTTACTTCTGTCATATCATTTTTTTTATTACCTTGCTCGATCTACCACTGTTTCTATTCATTCTTCTTGGAACCTTTAAAAATTAGATATAAAAACTTATAGTTTTAGAGTTTATTGTTCTGTTGGCCTTCTTTTTTATAATTTCTAAAAGTCACATATACTCCTCTACAACCATCCACTGCATCTTCTCTTTATTGTCATTGCTATTTTAAAATTCGAACATAATTATTGTTTAGGTTCGTTTTTTTACTTTCTAAAAGTTCCACTAAAAGTCAGGGACTTTGTCACTATACTCCTCTACGACTCGCCCGCTGCCGTCCTTCTTTTTTGTCATTGAGATTTTAAAATCAAGCATGATTACCATTGGGATTTATTTTTTTACTTTTTAAAAGCCCGAACCTTTTAAAAATTGAATCTTATAGGTTTTAGAGTTTTATTGTCTCGTTGGGTTTCATGTTTTTTATAATTTTTAGAAATCCCGTCAAACACTGCCACTATACTCCTCTACAACCCGTCCGCTGCATAATCTTTATTGTCATTGGGATTGTAAAAATCGAACATAACTACCGTTGGAATTCATTTTTTACTTTCTAGAAGACCCACCAACCATCGTCAGCTCTACCATTGTACTCCTATACGACCCGCTGCCTCTCATTTTTATTGTAATTGAGATTTTAAAAATCAAATATGATTATTATTGGGGTTTATTATTTTACTTTCTAGAAGTCCCTCGCCAACCGCTTTGACTGATTGCTTCACAACCTGCCCGTCGTCCTTCTTTTTAATCGTCATTAGGATTCTATTTGGTGTTTTATTAATATTTTTTAGATGTCTCATCAACCGCCACCACTCTACTTCTCTGTAGGCTTGTTACTTAATTAATCTTGTCATGGTCTTTTCTTTCAATAGTCTAATTTTTATTACCAATTTTAGCTATTTATAAATTGTATTCCTAATTAAATTCTTTTTTTCTTTTTCTAATTTCAGAATTTATTTTATTTATTATTATGTTCTTTTGATATTTTTATTTTTTATTTTCAATTTTAGTTGTTTCAAATTTGTATTCATACTTTAACTCTCTCTTTAATTTGCCTAATTTCGGATTTTATTTTATTCTTTATTCCGAATTTTAATTAATCTACCATTTAGTTCTTATATGTACTCTTATTTCAATATTGCTTATATTTAATTCCGAATTTAAGTTAATTTTAAATTGTATTCCTACTTGAACTTTTATTTTCTTTTCTTTTTTCTAATTTTATTTTTTTATTCTGAATTGTAATTAATCTCGTATTGGATTCTTGTATGGACTCTTCTTTCAATATTCCTTATTTTTAATTCGGAATTTTAGTTATTTATAAATTGTATTCCTAGTCGAACTCTTCTTTTTTCTTTTTCTAATTTTGAAATTTATTTTTTTATTATTCCGAATTTTAATTAATCACGTATTGGGTTACTATATGGACTCCTCTTTCCATATTGCATATTTTTAATTCCGAATTTTAGCTATTTTTAAATTGTATTTCTAATTGGACTCTTCTTTTCTTTTTCTTTTGATTAATGTGAGAATTTCTAACCTCCACAGCGAACGTGGTGTCTTCTTTCAAGGCTGTTTTAATAATATAATAGATAGATAGATAGATAGATGTTCTAATGTGCTTATCATGTCATTTGGTACCTGTACTTTTCAAAAAGTTTTTAAAAATTGTTCGTTTGTTTCAGTCGATGACGAGTACATCATCGTGGGATCGGCCAACATCAACCAGAGGTCGATGGACGGCGGCCGAGACTCGGAGATCGCCATGGGAGCATTCCAGCCACACCACCTGAACATCGGTGGCCAGCTTGCAAGAGGTCAAATCCATGGCTTCCGGATGTCACTATGGTATGAGCACCTAGGAGGCGAACCGCACGACGACTTCCTGCACCCGGGGAGCCTGGAGTGTGTCCGGAGAGTGAACGAGATGGCTAACAAGCACTGGGAGCTCTACGCCAGCGAGGAGCTCCATGAAGACCTCCCGGGGCATCTGCTAACCTACCCGATCGCCGTGGCTAAGGACGGCACGGTGGCGGCGCTCCCGGGGGCGAAGTTCTTCCCGGACACCGAGGCGCCGGTGCTGGGGAAGAAGGCGATCAATCCGTTGATGACCCCCGATATCACCTCGTAGATCAGGTGAAAGTTTGTGCTGGTGGTGCATGCGGAGCAAAAGTTTGCTAGTCCTACACTGGAGTGATGCTGCTTCCATCAGAATGTGTTTGTTTTTCAACGGTGTAAGTTGTCCTAGAATGTCACCCTCTATGTAATGTTGAATCTTAATTCCATTGTCTAAAATAACCAAATTTGTAATGTTACTGGAACAAATTTTGTAATGATGAGTATGCACCTGCAAATCGATCACCCAGAGGAGGCCAACCAAATAAAACATGCCCTGGAGACTATTGGAGCTGAAGTTGCAAGGCTGGCCATAAAAATGTTTAGGGATTAGGACTCATTTGGATAATGGGTAGGAATGGGATTGGGATAGGGAAATGAGTGAAGGGCTAGGATGAGATAGGAAGAATGGAGGGCTAGGATTAAAAGTAACCTTTGAAAGGTACGAACAAAATTCCCAATCCTTCTGAAACGGGCCCTCATAAGTACATTCTTCTGCTAGCTTTGGTGGAAAGGAACAAGTCCATTTTGACTCCCTCAAATATTGCTTCAATCTAATTTATATCACTGAACCGCAATACCGGATATCTTCACCCAAAAAAAACTATTAAAACCGGTGTAGTTTGACTCCCTCAGCGGTTTTAGAAGGCGGTTTCGCTAACGTGGTGCTTTGACTTGGTCCAACCTATTGAGTCATCGTGTGGGGCCCACCTGTCAATGACCCTTATATCTCTTATCTTCCTTTCCTTTCCCCTCCATCGGATCTACGCCACGCCGCCGCCCCTCTTCCCCCTTCCACTCCACTCCGCCCCTTAGGGAGTCACTGACATGTGGTTCTCACATACTGACGCATCTGGTTGGACCAAGTCAACGTGCCACGTTAGCGAAAACCACTCTCAAAACCGCTAAGAGAGTCAAATTGCACCGGTTTTAATAGTTGATAGGTCAAGATATCCGGTATTGCGGTTGAGGGATACAAATCAATTGAACCTATATTGAGGGAGTCAAAGTGATCTTATTCCTTGTTGGAAATGCAAGGAAAAAGAAGATAGCAACCCAGGTCAATTTTAGCCCAACAGGTGCGGGGTAATTTGGGCCAACAAATGGGTTATTTTGATAGAACAGGCCTCCAGCTATACGCAACGAGGAACATATCAGTTTCTTTTCTGAAGGAAGGGGGAAAATAGCTCTAGCTGAAGTATATCCTCGAATAAAATTTAGAAATATACATTATATACATGTTTTGAAAGATTCATGAAAATATACGCGTACCGCAGTTCAGAAATACGCGACCGGTTGTTTTCCTCGGCATGGAGCCGCGAGACCGACGGCTGAAACATGCGGCATACTGGCCGGTGCCGCACAGCCGATCTGCGTGACCGTGCGGTGCCGCGTTGCTGGCGGGATCGACGCAGTACCGCGCGCTCGTGTGTCGCGGGATTGTTCCGGCCATCGGTCTCTATACCGCGAAAAAAAATCGGTCACGCATTTTCAAACCGCGGTACAAGTATAGTTTCACAAATCTTTCAAAATCTTGTATATAATCATAAAAACGTAAAAAAATAATGTACATTTTCAAATTTTATTCGTGTATCCTCCAGTAAAAAAAATACCAATCGTTTCGGAAATATTTTATTGGGTGTAGATAAAGATAGTGTGTGTCGAATTAGCATAATAATTTTTTTGTGTTTAACACAAAAAATAGCGATCAAGTCAATAGATTAGGGTATTCATATGTGAACTACTACATCATACAGTTAACCGTAACATGAATGTCTACAGGGCCCAGCTGTTCTTATCTTTGATAGTTCAACAGCTAGCGTTACTAGGCAGGCAGCCCATGCGAAGTATTGAATCAGGGCAGGACGTTGCTGTTCCATCTCTTCCCATCATTGAGGTCGTATGTGATTTCCTTTTTATTTTAATGTTTCATAACGCATTCATTTGCTTGCACTATAAAAGCAAGAGGCCATCAAACAAGAAACTGTTCATCGCAGCCTTTGCCATTGCCTAAAGCAAACGTGCTGTAGAATAAATGAGAACTGTTCACTCGAGCAGTCGAGCTTAACTTGTGGCAGAAGCCCAGAAAGATACCAGAGACAATTGCTACACCAGTTTGCATTTAGTGGTCACTGTTTCCTGGCTGAAGACAGAATTTTTGGAACGCATGAATTTTAATTTGATTTCGACTCATAAACTACTTCAAGAAAGAAATTGTATTTCAGACGAGCCTACTATTGGCGTGAGCAATAAAATGCATATATTTTTCCAGCTTTTTTTTAAGAACATATTTTTCCAGCTTTAAATTCGAGATGACAGACACAGGATTTCAAGGGTAAGTAGTCACGCAACAATTGCAGATAAAATTCACCGGAAGAATACGAGATAATATCAGGAGTGGATTTGTTGAGGGAAAAAATGGGTTGAGAATGAAGTATTAGGCCAAGTTTAGAATATGCTAGGTATAATATAGCTACGTATACTATTTTTTTTTTAAGAAATTGTTGCGTATTCACGTGAACACCAAGAACTCCCTAGGTCCATCCCTGAGAAACTTGTATAGATTAAGGTCCCGTTCGAATAAACTAAAAAAAGTGGACAAACTTTTGATAAAAGTGGCACGTTTTTCAAACTGCTAAACGGTGTGTTTTGTGCAAAAACTTTCTATATGAAAGTTGTTCAAAAATATCAAATTAATCCATTTTTCAAGTTTGTAATAATTAAAACACAATTAATCACACGCTATTAACACCTCGTCTTGCGTAAAACACTTAATCTTTTATCTTCATCTCCAGGAGATTCAAACACCACTTAATTTGATTCATAGATATATTTTTTTTGCCATAGTTGAGTAAACATGAGCTTTTACGCACAAGAGGTACTCGACAGTCAGCGGAACAACAGTAGATACTAGTACTAGATTAGATAAAAAAAGAGTAAAGTGCACACGCGGTCCCTAGACTTGTGTGGTGTGTCAACTAGCTAGGTCTCTGAACTCTCAAAATGAATTTTTTGGATCTCTCAACTTGTCTCAAGTGTCATATAGGTCTAAATGGGTTCCAACCCGCTCCATGTGCTGATGTGGCAGGCCATGGTGGCGCCTACGTGTTAGTAAAACCGATATGTCTGCCACATATAGAAAAAAAATAACATATTTTTTTCTCCTCTCTTTTTTCATTTATTTTTTCAAAATTAAAAACATCATTTTCTCCTCTCTTTTTAAATTTTATTTTTTCTACATGATTGACATGTGGATCCCACTAACACATAAGCATCACCGTGGCATGCCATGTCATCTCACGGAGCGGGTTGAAACCCGTTTGGATTTCTATATGACACACATGACAAGTTTGGGGACCCAAAATGTATTTTAAAAGTTTAGGGACCTAGATAATACATATATATACAAGTTTAAGGACTGCCCGTGCACTTCACTCTGAAAAAAAAACTAAGAATCTAGCTCCAGCTTCTAGCACCTATCATCCAGGAAAGAACTCGACTTGCCTGTTCAAACAGCCTACTCCAGCTCAAAAGTATCAGCTTAAGCCAAATAAACGACACCAATCAAGGGTTAGCCAAACATCAACCACATCAGGTTGAATATTTAGGTTGATTTTCTAACCAGAAAAGCTGGAGCTGGAGCCATGTGAAACACTCCATAACAATAGCAGGACCAGGGCGTGCACCGTTCATCATGCAAGGAATATACAATTTTTCTTAAGGAGGGCTTAGAGGACCCAGCACAGCAATGGAGGAGAGAAGTCCACATTGTCTCCATCTTAAATCTTGGCATGTTTCTGGGGGAGGAGGAGATGGAACTTGACAAAATTATCACCACTCATTCACTCACAAAAAGTCACTATAAGGATCTCAGGCTGTGTTTAGATCCAAAGTTTGGATCCAAACTTCAGTCCTTTTCCATCACATCAGCCTGTCATACACACACAACTTTTCAGTCACATCATCTCCAATTTCAACCAAAATCCAAACTTTGGATCCAACTAAACACAGCCTCAAGCTTTCAACACGGTAGCTCTATGTAATAGTGTGCACGCATGCCTGCCGTTTGTAGCCGCACATGGGCGCTATCTATGTGCAGACGTGCAGTTAACCTGGGACCAAAAGGACCGGACGGAACAACTCAGCCGGAGTAGCCCGGCAGCGAGAGTGGACGTTGCCACACGGCAGAAAGGCTTTACACGGTACCAAGATTCCAAGACCCCTCAATGCATCAAATCATTTCTATCGATCCACACGTCTACATAGATCAAAACAATGAAAAATACAAAGTACATCGAGTAGTAAGAATGAGAGAAGATATATCTGATTGCGGGGTGTGCATGTTGAGGCTGGTTTGTTCAGAGAGAACCTCAGATCCTGGGAGAAAGTCAGGTCAGGATGCAGCTAAAGCTAACACTAAACAAGGCAACAACTACTGGTCTACTGCTGCTACAACAGTGGTGCTACCACCTGGATGCACTATAATATATGCATCGTCATCTGCATGTAATGTAACTACCCGTCGACAGCCTCATAATTATGCCCGGCCAACTCTCCTGGCCCTTCTCCCCTAACGTTTTCCCAAGTTTCCATGCCAACGCTTCCGGTGTCCCCCCAAGCAATATTGGTGATCATGGCCAGGCACGTACTGACGTACGTATTCACACATATAGATTGTTAATTACCACGACTTGACAAAGCAAATTAAGGCTAGCTACAGCACAGCACAGAACTATGACCCATTCTTAAATGGATCAAACTATGGACAACAGTGGCTAGCTACGCTAAAGCACAAGCAAGCAAAACGTGTGCGCCTGATTGGCCAATCGATCCTCACAATTTACCCATTGAAAGGAACGACGTTATTAGAAATTACAGAAAAATGAAGATCCAGCCGTGTTCATCGATTGTCCACGAAACCTCGAACATTTGCAGCCCAAAAATATCCTGTACAATGCAGCGAGAGAGCAATTAATCAAGGGGTCATTTTCGATGAGGCATAAGGCGCGTATACTGATGCTGACCTGCCGCTCGCTCGCGCACTCGATAATCGTCAAGAAATTGGCCACGTCAATCACGGCCACGCTATCACACGCCAGCGACCGACGCAGTCGGGCACTATGTGTGTACACAGGGTTGGTGGATCCGTGTGCATATATGCGAGGATCATATCAATGCCCGGTCCAGTGATCAGCTCACTCACTCACTCACTCCAGGCCAGCTGATTTGCTGATTAATTCCCATCGGTTGATGCAGCATGGCTAGTGAGTAACGAGCCATCACCTTCCTTAGACGTTTGTACGTACGTTGCTACCTTCAACTGCTACATCTGCATGCATATATCGATACTACCTCTGTTTTAGATTATAAGACTTTCTAGCATTGCCCATATTAATATAAATGTTAATAAATATATATATGTATCTAGATTCATTAACATATATATGAATGTGGGCAATGCTAGAAAGTCTTATAACTTAAAATGGAGGAAATACATATACAGCGACAGCTCTAGTAAGGCCGGTGCAAGAACAGAAACTACATATTTTCTACAACTAGGTATTCATGCACGTATATTTATGTAGTCATATAAAGTTCTGTGAAGATTTCCAACAAGACAAAGTACAGAGCCAACTCAAGATCAAATGATCAATCGATCGAGCCCTAGCTAGCTTAGTTTTCGTGTGACCAAGGTGGCATGCTGGCATTGTACCAGCAGTACAGCGTACGTTCTGGTAGAAGCGAGTGGCGTTTGGTGCTGACCCAACCCAAAGCACGAGAAAGCCCCCCATCGTAGTTAATTCGCACTGCTTAAAAAGTTCAGTAAATTTAACCACCACTACCAGGACTAACTTTATTGCGCTGCTGTCCTAGCTAAACCTGCCCCTCATCCCTGGGATACTTCAGGTTTCAGTGAAATAACCCAAGTTAGAGCTACCCATGCATTCATAGGATTTGAGTACTTAGTAGTTAGTAGCTAGTGTGGCAGTGGAGATCCAATTAATCTACCACAATTCGAGCACATGTAATGTACTACCCGCAAGGCAGAGCTAGCTAGCTACTCTTCTCCTCTCACCGAACCGGATGCATTTGCCCCGTTGAGTGCTTGGCAAGGGAGTGATCACTAACCACTGGCCAGACAGTGCCTTCTAGTTGCACGGGAACAGGATTAGCAAGGGGATTAACTCCTAGATGCAGGTTTTGGGCAAGTCCCCAACAACTCAAAGCAGTATGTGTAATTGTGTATGCATGATATAATGCAGCTTGTTGAAGCAAAGGATGCGGTGTAGAACACTGTACCTCTTGTGGACTTTGTTTCTGACAGAGGTGTGGCAGGTCTGATCATCGTCATCCGTTTCCTGTAACCAAAGCCGCCCAACTCGGACTTGCCCCCACCGTTTACCTGCAAAAATGTGAAACCTGCAGAAAATGAGATTTAATCATCATCATCATCAATAACTGTAGTGTCAGTATAAATGCTGAGAGTATACAGATCAGAAATTTATATATAGGGGATTATCTGCAGGTGTATATGTTGTGTATGTTGTGTACGGGCGTGCTACCTTGCAGTCTGCCAGGCTGACAAAGAGCAAGCAGCCCTGAAAGAATAAATGACAAAGAATTCATAAGAAGATGGGGTGCCTCTTCCTTTGAAACATTAATCAATACATTTAAACCTAAGTCATCAACAAATAATAATAACTAGCATGATGGCCCGCGCAGATTGCGCGGCTAGCATCATTATATTTTCTCTCATATAATAGCATATATGTTTTCTCATTATATTATTCAAATATATTAAAATGACAACATAATTTTAAATTTTGCAATAACTTTACAAAACTACTAATGTGTAATATTCATATTGCATTTTATATACGTGTTAGTTATTAATTATTTTTAAGATAAAATTTTAGTTATTTGTAAATTATATATATTCATATATGGACTCTAGACTCGTCTTTTAATATTTCTTTTTTCTGTAAATTGTATTTCTATATAGACTATATGTTCTTCTTCTAATATTATTTATTTTTATTTCTGAAATTTTATTATTTCTAATTGTATTTCTATGTGGACTCTAAACTCATCTTTCAATATTATTTAATTTTTAATTTCGAATTTTAGTTACTTCTAAATTGTATTCCTATATTAGCATTAAACTCTTCTTCCCATTTTTTCTTAATTTCGAATTTTAACTATTTGTAAATTGTATTTTTATACGGACTCTAAACTCTACTTTTAATTTTATTATGTTTATTCCAAATTTTAGTTAGTTTTAAGTTTCTATATGGACTCTATACTCTACTTCTAATATTCCTTATTTTTAATTCCGAATTTCAGTTATTTCCTAATTGTATTTCTACATGGACTCTATACTCTACTTCTAATATTCCTTATTTTTAATTCCGAATTTCAGTTATTTCCTAATTGTATTTCTATATGGACTCCGGTCTCCTCTTCTAATATTCCTTATTTTTTAATTCCGAATTTCAGCTATTTCCTAATTGTATTTCTATATGGACTCCGGTCTCCTCTTCTAATATTCCTTATTTTTTAATTCCGAATTTAAGCTATTTCTAAATTGTATTTCTATATGGACTCTGCTTTTTCTTTTTCTCCGATTAATGTGAGAATTTCTAGGCCATGAGAGCGAACGTGGAGGCTCCTTTTTCTATTCCTTTAATTATATAATAGATAATAATAATTTAGATCTCCATCCTATTCTTGAAGTGTGGCAGTAGATGATGAGGTTGTTGATTATAACTAGTAATTATCATACCTGTCACATAATTGTGAAGGTTTGAGCTAGAGGGACCCTTAAGATTTTCTTCCTTGAATCGCTAGTCCTAGCATTTGTACTGACAATGTATATATGATCAGTGTGGTGTACTAGCGTTTATAGTGCTCACCTGTCAACGGTTTTTACTGGACGACAGGTCCTGACAGTCCTTGGCAACCACCACAAACCTGCCTGCACTTTTCCATGTAAAAAAAGGAGTGCGTGCATGTGTACGACGAGCAGCAGCAGAAGAAGCTTCCATCCCTGCAGGAACTCACTGACACACGTATCTGTGTGGAGCCGATGGAACTGTAAAAGCACCCGGACGGAAGCCCCATTCAATTCGATCGGCCGGACAAACAATGGCAACGAACTCACTCCGCCATTAACTCCGTTTCACCTTTTTACGGAGAGAAGAGCAAGTTCTTCTGCTGCTGCAATGCTGTGTGCGCCTTCCTTGCCGATGCGCCATGGATGGATGGATGATTGGCTGCTTGATTGGGGCAGTTATTGCAGGCCAACTGCTCTGTCGAAAGAGTGTCCCTCGGAAAGTGGCTTTAGAAGTTGGAGTAAACCTTGCAGTGCATGGCATACATACAGCATGGAGTGGTATTACCTTGGTTACGAACGCCCATCAAGTCCATTTCTGGAGTAGTACACACTGTCCAAGCTTCAGTGTTTGTACCTGGAAAGAAATGCACATTAGCCATATGCGCAAGGCAAGGCAAGGCATTGAGCAAAGTTAGATTCATCAGTTACTAGTTTAGCTAGTTAGCACATACACACTACTGGACAATGACTAGCGAGTGAGCTTAGCTAGCTGATCGGCGACAAGTGACAACCAGCTAGTTAGCAATAAGAGCTGGTGATGGTTAGCTCATCTCAGTTCATCCTTAGGTTTTCCTCCAGTGAAGGCCATAAATGAGGTCGCCAAGGGCGTAGGTGGGGGAGTTTATTACCGGCGTACTGGCAGAGAAGGTGGTTATGCCGCTCGCCACAGTTCACCGACAGCCCACCCCAGCAGCCCATGAGGGCCCCCCATCCTCTTTCCATCTATCTCTCTCTTCCACTAATCTCACCAAAGAGTCTTCTTCACTTCCTTCTCTAGGCTTATTAACAGCTTATTTCTGATCTCTCACATGTTCAGTTTTATCTCATCCCTCCTGCTAGATATTACTGTTGCTGGCCCCAACCACCCTGCATGGATTACAACACAAGTTTATCAGTACCACTGTGGTTCAAAGTAGTGTATGTACTGGACTCGTGGAGTTATGACCACAAGGAAATTGACCAGAAAGTTAATTACAATGACTGAAGGTGTGTACTCACTTGGTCCTGGCAGAGTAGAAGGAGAGTACACCAACTAGATCTGAACCCTGGTGTGCTACTGTACCAAAAGGCTAAGGCCACTGACAGAGGAGATACGTGACAGACAAGTCCCAGTTGAGTTACTGTCCAACCCCCAAATCTAACCCTCTTCTACCACCACCCCCACTCGTGCGCCACAGCGCTCTCACACGCGCGCCACACTCATGCCATGTATGTCTATATATATGTGCATCTATATATCTTAGCCACATTGAACGCACGCTACACTGCAAGAAAGGCAAGTATAGGGGTGGCAGGTAGTTTATATTCACTGGAAACCGAGAACTTCACTCCTCCCAGCACTCCACACTAGGAGGATGCTCACTGTCTGACTGACTGACTGGCTGCTGCTGCTGCTCATTCCTTCTCCTACTCTGCCTGCCTCCTCTGCTGTGTCCTTGGGAGAATTCTTCAGGGACAGTATCCCTGCAGAGGTGAGATCATGGGACAGTCGAAGAAGAAGTTCCGCGGAGTCAGGCAGCGCCACTGGGGCTCCTGGGTCTCCGAGATCAGGCACCCTCTCCTGTAAGTCTCTATCTCACTAGTGATGATCACTAGCTAGCTATGTTGCTCTGATGTGTTATGCCACTGTCGTGATAGATACATTTTGATGGATAGCTAGTGGTTCTGGTTTGTTGTTGCTTTCTTTCTTTTTTTCTTTCTCTTTCATGGTATGTTAGTAGCTAACTCAAGGTGCTTGGGTGCGTGCATGCATGAATGATGGATGATGTTTTTTTTGCTACGTGCGTTGTGGCAGTAAGAGGAGGGTGTGGCTGGGTACCTTTGAGACGGCGGAGGAGGCGGCGCGGGCGTACGACGAGGCCGCCATCCTGATGAGCGGCCGCAACGCCAAGACCAACTTCCCAGTCGCGAGGAACGCCACGGGGGAGCTCACACCGGCGGCTGCGGTGGCAGGGCGGGATGGCCGTGTCGGCGGCGGCAGCGGCAGCTCGTCCTCAATGACGGCCAACGGCGGCGGGAACAGCCTGTCTCAGATCCTCAGCGCCAAGCTCCGCAAGTGCTGCAAGACGCCGTCGCCGTCGCTCACCTGCCTCCGCCTTGACCCGGAGAAGTCCCACATTGGCGTCTGGCAGAAGCGCGCCGGCGCACGCGCTGACTCCAGCTGGGTCATGACCGTCGAGCTCAACAAGGACACGGCCGTGTCGTCGGCTGCGACGGTGGCAGCAGCAACAGCAGTGTCGTCCAGCGACCAGCCGACTCCGAGTGACAGCACAGTCACAACGACGTCCACGTCCACCACGGGCTCGCCGTCGCCACCACCTCCGGCAATGGACGACGAGGAGAGGATCGCGCTGCAGATGATCGAGGAGCTGCTGGGCAGGAGCGGCCCGGGCTCGCCGTCACATGGGCTGCTGCACGGTGGTGAAGGTAGCCTCGTCATCTGAATTCCGGAAGAACAGGAAAGAAATTGAAAATGCAAGGTTAAAACAGCATGATCAGGTCACCATCTAAGATCAAGGATCTGGTAGGGTGGTTGGTGCACAGGCAGTTAAGATTGCTACATATGATAGGTATATCTCTATTACTACTACATATCCAGCTTAATTAGGAAACAATTATAAGATCGATTACTACTGTGTGAAGTGAAGCTGTGTATTTATTAAAGACTTACTTGTATGTACAAGACGTCCCCGTCATTATAGTCATACTGGTGAAAGCTCTGCTATGTATCAACGTCATCAGAGATCAGACTACATATATATAAGTGGTGTCAACTTCTAATAAAAGTAAATAAAAACATTGTAATTGTGTACTTTTGTGGCTTTGCTTTTTCTTTCAGACTACTTGCTGGATTTTCATCAAAAGAAGATGAGGAATATGATGAAGGTGATATTTGTGAATAAGACATGTTTCCTAAATGGTTTTAAAAGAAAAAAAGACATGCTTTATAGGATAATACTCCTACAATCATATCTATGAACTGTTCATCTTATCCAAAGATAGTAGTACTCCAAGATTGGAAAATTATGGATGATTGTCATATTAAAGACAAACAAGCAGGAGAAATATTTTTCTTCCTGCATCACTCCAATTCTCCAACCACATGAGTCCACTCAAAGGGTTAATTGATCAAATGATTAATGCAATGGAAAGAATTTGGTAAGATAGACATGGTGCAAAACATAGTTTACTGGAAAAAAGCCGTAATTTCCGTTACTACAATTCAGTAAAATAAATCCATACTCCAATGTTCTGGTTCTGTTCTGTCTTCTCACTTTCATCAAGGGAACCACCTAGTTTATTAATAGGAAATACACCAATTCCTGCAGGAAAAAGGTGTTCCAAAGGAGGCCTTAGCATAGTAAAAACTATAATGTTTTAGAGCAGTCGTTGCCACCAGAAAAAGATTCACTTGTGTCCACTTAGGGGGGATTTGCTGATAGTTAAAAGCAATAATTATGCAATAAACAGATGGCCATAACTCACAAGGCATCAACTAAATTGCGACAGTGCACCAGACTACATGCATTATGTCAGTGTGTTTATTCACACACAAATATATAGCAGCACACCACACAGTACAAGCAGTGGTGTTTCTAACTGTGATGCCAACCCTCCGAAAGTAAAAATGGTGACACCAATCCAGCACAAACAACTTAAAGAACTTCAAGATAACATCATACGTGGCATATCAAATGAAAAAGAATGAAAGCACTGAAATGGATGGCAAAGATCATGGTCCCCATATTATTTCCCCTTCCTAATTTCACAACATACAAATAGGAGCAATGAAGCGCGAATCAGCTCCACAGTTGGTTCTATAGGTTGGTAATGCATGAAGTCAATGCGAAAGGGCCCAGTCAGTTAGTTGGTCAGTCATAAAGTACGATCATGTCAAAAAAAGAAGAAAAGAAAATTAACAATATGAGAGGATACACTATTCTAAGGTCTTGGATGTTGATGAAAACAACAAAGGCACTACATTTAGTAGTACACGAAATGACAAAATGGCATATGATTAAGACCTTAGTGAAATTCAACGATGGCCAGAACCAAAAGCTATGCTTACATAGTGAGCCAACATTTAAGTTTTGATGCTTAAAATAAACAAATTGGTTTTCCTTTATCATCATGTCCTTTCAGCAGAAAAGTGCTCACCAATTTGTGTCTCAATCCATCAAAACCTAATAAATGGGTTTCTTGCATAAAAACCATCAAACTCAAATATGACAAATAATTCTCCTAATATGTGCTGCAGAACAAATTGTTAGGTGTATGATGTTCGCCTCATAATTTAGAGATTTGATACTCATGCTACTGCTCCTAAATTTTGGAAAAGTAACAGCTCACAACTAGTTTCGCCTTGATACCTTGTGGTGCCACAGTAGCTGGTTAAGGACCTCCCATGTTGCAAAAGCATGCATTGAATATGTCCAGTAGGATAGCTGTATCGGTCCCCACAACATTAACTCTGCCCTTTGCTTCAATCTCATTCGAATCAATCTGGTGATGTCATCTTAATTAAGATTGTAAAGCATATAGCACCAAGTTACGCTGCGCTCTTGACACTGTCATCCGCCAGATCTACCTAAAATAGATCAACACATGGTCCATGTACATGCCAATTAATCCATTAATGTCATTGTCAAGTGGCTGTGGACGACAGAAGTGTAGCAAATTAGCAATGAGCCAAAAAGAAAAGGAAAACTGGCTTGTTTCAACTTCTGACTAATGAGAAAGACACTCAAGTACACAAACATGCGCTGAAAACAACATATCATAACTTGTATCAGTAATAAATAAGCATTTCAAATGAGCAACATTCCAATTCCAGGGGGCTTTCCGTTCTTTAAAATCTAGTAAAGAAGTTACCATCTGGTGAGCTTTTGTAATTATTCTTCAAAGCATGGGTAGATTAGTTGGTTAAGATATCTATTTAGTGAAGAAACTACAATTCTACTAAAAAATATGTAAAAGAGATACAGCATGAAAGAATTACCCACTAGTCTATCAAAATCTGGGAAGATGTCAATGAAATATGGATTCACAATGTACAGAACAGGTGGCCTGCTTGGCTTCCATGTGTAAATATACTCTCTAGACTCTAGACTTTATCCAGTCAATCTTGTAGCAAAAGATTTAGGAATCAAGTCTGACACAACAATTTCTGTAAACAACTACCCCTTTTTTGGCCTCTGTAAACAACTAGCAGTAGACCAGCCAGTGACCCTAAATGCAAAGCGTTGGCAAGTATAACTGCTACTGCATGACAAACCCTTGCCCCTCTGAGGGCATAGTACCATGGCCTGGTGGTCCTAGTTAGTTGTTACATTTTGATGTACTTACGTCCATTCAAAATGATTACATGCTTGGCATGTCATTATCTTGGTTCATTTAGCAACCAAATCTGTAAAAAGTCTAATTTTTAACAATCAGTTACATAAAAGTCAAAGATATGCATAGTCGTCTTTTACAATTTACACTACCTTATTAATCCCCACTTTTATATTGTGGGGTATATGTGCAGACAAACTTTAGTAACTTTGACTGATATACTGGATTGAACACATGGAAGTGATACCGGTGGGTAAATTGCCAATGATAACATTATACTTTTGCCAGATTTTGATCGTAAAGTATATAATATATTAATGACTAAGTTTAAAACTCAAGGGCTGAACATCAAACAGAAAAAATTGTAAAAATAATAAAATGTATAAAACTATACAAGTCTAGTTTGCTTTCACTTTTTCAAGTCAAGCATTACAAACCAGCAACAGCAACAAAAAAAAAAAAAAAGAAAGGCCAAGTCAGCTTGTTTCCAAAAATTGTTTACTTGGATAGCTGCAGTTTTGAGTTTCATCACTTCAACTCCTCAAAACTATGAAGACCAACCATTTGGAGACATATTTAGTATATTGCTACCCAAGTCATTGCAGAGAAGCGAGTTTCTCAATATAAATGACCCTGTGGCCAAGAAGTAGTCTAAATCATTTCATTTGCATGTTGTTAACCCCAATGTAGTTGTCAGTCACCCGATGCATGTGTTTCAGAAGCATGGTAATTGAGTAAAGCGATACAATGACCAGCTGGTCAATTTAACTAACAGATTTAACTGTGTAAACTCATATGAACAATCAGTGACTGCAAGGTTCAACTATTGACAGACAAGAACACAGGTGTGCAGCAGGCACTATGATGTATCACATAGACCAGAGGCAATGCTGATATGCATTTCCTTTCAGATTTTTATTGTTGAAGTAATGAACAAATGGCAAAGTAATAGAAGTGCATATTGTCTGTCAACCACAGTTTAAATGTAGCCCAATTAGTTCTCAAGTAAATTCAATTTATCCAAATAAACAATTCCTATAAAAAAAATTTAACCACCCAATGATCAAATTTAACCAAGCTACACCACATCTTTCGTTGTTTTGTTCTGTACATATCCAAGAACATCCAAACAACAAGTTTGAATGTTTAACCCATATAATTAAATTTGCAAAAGTGAAAATAAAACTATATTATTGCAATTCAGTGAAGGGAAGTAAAGGAGAAATCTAGCCAGACTGGTGGAAACAAGATAATTATTGCTGTTCCCGGCAAAGACTCAAATAGTAATAGCTTAGAACAGGTTGGCAAGTGGCAATATAATTAATTTCCTATATTCTGGAAAAAAACAAAAAGTAGCACAAAGTATTGTAAAATGCAAATAGAGATAATAAAGTAAGGAAGATAAGCTATTCCATGCCACACAGGAAAAGAGCAATTTCCAGGGCAAAAGAGTTGATTTATGCGCAACTATTATATAAGCGAGATAGGAGGGCGTATAGTCTTTTAAGGAGGAAATAAACACCCAAATTTCGAGCTAAAGAGGTCCCAAACCTGGGTTGGGGGGGGGGGGGGGGGGTAGGCCGTTGCCTCCACACCTCATAGGCTCCCACCGAGTGAGCTAGTCCCGGTTCCATTTGCAACAGAACATTGGCAACCAATATCCATGTCATTTTGTTTAAAAAGAGTGTAGAGCCACTTCGAAATATGGTAACATATCATTCAAAATTATTTGCATGAAGCAAGCACAGAACCAACAGAGCTAAAGCTATATGGCACAACTCTAATAGATTTCATATAAATTGAACAATGGAGTGAAGGAAAATGAAAATCATACCGTTTTTATTTGACTCATGTAGACACAAGAAATATGCGCCAGATAGTTTATACTTTTCATATAAAAATATGCTATAAAAGTTGCATGTGGAATTGTGGATCCTGCAGGCTTTCAAAACCTGAACAAGCTCTCTCTGAAAAAGCTTCCAGTCTTCATTTCATCATAAAGAAAATTGGCATATCCTAATCACCTATTCAAGGTACTCTTGCAATTTGCTGAAGATATTCACTGGTAGAATTCAACCAGTTAAAAAAAGACCCACCATACTTTTAAGATTCATGATCTGGTAGAAACAGTTGAAAGTATCTCCTCTATTGGCACTTTCAAACTGTCCTCTTGCCATGGACGGAAGCAACTTTTCAACATAGTAGCACGGATTTGCTTCAAGTTTATCTGCTTTAGAAACACTAATTAAATATGAGGAAGAAGTTCTTATTCTAGAATCCACAAACATGACTGCTAGGAGTGCTATTATAACATATGTTTCTTCGAGAACTCCAGAGTGGTGACCAGCTTACTGCATATATAACTTGTTTGTTCGGTCTAGGGATTCCCACAGGTATATATTGTAGTACTACTGAAAATTTGTCAACAGGCTAAGAAAGATAAATGAGCTGAATGCTGAATATCAAAAAACTAGGACAGAGAAATGGCTTGAATGTGTTGTGTTGCATGGCCTGGCACTCAACTAAATCCCCTTGGCCATCAGCAATCTACAATCAGCACCATCAAAAACTGATGCAGAATGTCGTTAGGTTTCACATTGTAAGATCAGTCAGTTTACTGTGACTCTGTGTGTGAGAGAACACATGTTTCTAATCCTGTAGTTCTCCTGACTCCTGAGAAGACCAAGAAAAACTGATATAGAATGTCGCAAGGATTCACATTGGCAAGATCAGTCAGCTGACTTGTAAATCTGTGTCAAAGAACACTTGTTTCTAATCCTGAAGTTCTCTTGACTCCTGAGATAAGGAACTCCACTGCAGTTTTAAAATGATGAATCCTTACCAAGCTGTCAATCACTATTGAAATATCTGTTTCGTAAGCTGATATCTAGCATCAGAAGAAACATTATCTTCCATTGTATACTGCCAAATGGCTTCCATGCATACTCATGGGGGAAGGCATAAGATCATTGCAGAATCTCCCCTGCAAGTCATATGTGATTGCACTTCTTGATCTTGCCAGTACATGATATAGATAATAAGATAAAGTGGGAAACAGCTGCCTCTAGAACATAAGCTCTCATCAACAATTACAATTTCAGCAACGGTTTGCTCTTCTACTGCTAGCTTCCGCTTAGAAGCAATGGACGTGAGACGGATGCTCTTGAAATCATCATCAATCTGGCCACACTTTCTACTGCCATCACCCAATGGAACACCTTAGGAAGGGTTTCTCCCAGCTCAAAATATATTGGCAGGAAAGTCTTTCAGGCTGCAGAGTAATAGCCAGATTCCTTAACCAGAGGCATAAAGGAGGATAAGGACCCTGCATCATGCACATTGCTTTGCAAAGTTACATAAAATCAACAGTTACAGTGCCAAAACACAAGTAATAGATGAAATCATGAAAGCTGGGATAGTAGCATATAGCCAACTGTACTAGTTCAGCATTGGACTGAGAAAAGTTCTATATAACAGATTCTACTCACAGCCTTTAGCACAAAAGCTAGCCGATTCTACTCACGTGGAATAAACTGTAGCAAGGATCACTGCACTGCAATTCCACACATAACTCTCTTCAAACACCATGCAAATAATTAGTTGCTTGCTCAACGCAACTCTACAATTTTTTGGCAGAAAAGTTAACCCAACAAATCCAGCAGAACCGACTAAAATTTGCCGTTAACAATCACAAAAAACAATAACAATCACATTTGCACATTCGATGCAGAAACCTCGAACCAGTCAACTCCTGCACTCCAGCCCATTCCGATTTCCGAACCGCACCTCCCTCCATTGACGCGATCCCGAGTTCCCACCCTACCACGGTTCAGAGAGCAGCTAGCTTTGCCTAACCCTGCATCAAGCTAAATCTGCATTCCGTCTCGAAGCCCGCCCCCATGCGAATCGATGCGGGTCGCGGCGTTGCTAGCACAACCAGCGCGGGCGCCCGGCGATCTACCAGGAAAAAACCCGAGAGCTCAGTTGTGCGCGCGCGGCGGAAACCCCTCTCGTGGCGCAAGCGTAACCCCCGACACCGCCGGCGCAGAGCAAGGCCGTGTCTAGTTTCAGGGTTGACGAGAGAGGCGTACCTCGCGGCGCAGCGGAGGCCGCCACGCGCGAGGCGGCGAAGCTCGTTGCCGGCGGCGAGGGGCGGCTCGCCTGAGAGGCCGGCCGGGCCGGGAGCACCACGGGGAGAGAATAGAGGAGAAAATTGAGATTTAGCCGTTGTCAAAACGGGTTTCACTAGAATGCCGCTTCCAAAATAGTTTCATTAAGATGCCACTTCTAAAGTAGTTTCGTTAAAATGCCACCATCAAATACGGGCAACATGTTACAATGCCATTTTATCCATTTATTCTCAGTTTAATGTTTTTTTTAATATTTTTTTCTCGCTGAGATGACCAAAATACCCTTGATCTTATCTCATCTCTCATCTCTGTCTTCCTCCTCTCCGTTTGGCTCGGCGGCGCAGTTGGGGATAGGGATGACGGCGGCGCGGCTGGGGACGGGGACAGCGGCTGCGCACCCAGGGACAGGGAAGGCGGCGGCGCAGCTGGGTACGGGGAAGGCCGCGGTGCGGACAGGGACGGCGGCGACGCGGCTGGGGACGGGGAGGTGGTGACGTGGCTGGGGACGGGGACGGTGGCGGCGCCAACATGATTGGGGCAGGTGGGGATGTTCTCCTACATTGATGCAGATGGCTCCGCCGTCCCAGCAGCGCCGCCGAGCCGAGCAGCCTTCCCTAACCCACGCCGGCGCCGTCCCCGTCCCCAGCCGCGCCAGCGCCGCCCACCTCATCGCCGACCCCATCTCCATCCTCCTCGACGACCTCCTCCTTGAGTGCCTCGCCGGTGTCCCCTATGCCACCCTCCCGCGGCTCCCCACCACTTCAACCACGCTCGTTGCCTCCGTCGCGCCCACGGCGAGCTCCGCCCCTCATTCCTCACCCTCTTCGTCAGGCCTTGTAGAAGATCCTAGTGGCGGCGCCTAGGGAGAGATCATCGGAGGCGATGAGGTAGGAGGCCTGAGGCCACGGCGAAGGATGCCGCCTCAGGAACGGTGGCGCGGAGGATGAGGACGGGGAGCCAACGGATGTTGGCGTGGTGGTGGTGATGAGGACGAGGAGCCAGCGGCCACCGACTATGCCATTTTTCTATGCAGCTACGCCCCGTCGCCGCCGCCGCCGCCGCCGCTACGCTCCACCACCGGTGACTGGATGGGAATCGATCCCCTTTCTCCTTTCTCCTGTAAAGTCAACAAAATAGCCATGGGCACATATGTCAGAGCATGATGGAAAACATTTGAAAATCAATTAAAATGGTTGAAATGGCATTCTAGCAAATTGGCTTCATTTGACAGTGGCATTATAACGAAGCCATATTCGAAAGTGGCATTCCAGCGAAACCCCATCCCGAACATGGCTAAATGTCAATTTTCTCGAGAATAGAGAGACGAGAAGAGTTGTAGTGGGCTGGGCTGTGTCTTCTCGTGGGCTCTTGAAGCCGTGATTTGGAGTGGAGTTGGGGTTCGCGGTTGTATTCCAGGCTGGGCCGGATGCTTCTCTCGGAATTCTTTTTATTTTTCTTTTTTATATGTTTTTGGTTTTCGCCACTGAGACTGGGGTGGCTAATGGGCGCGCGCGCATGCCGGCGCGCGCCAGCTGGCCCCCTCCCGAGCGATTCTTTTTCCTTTTATTTTTTCGTGTTTTTTTTTCATTTTCCCTTTTACTTTTTTTCTGATTATTTTTTTAATCTTCAACATATGTGTTTTCAAATGTTTCGACTGGAAAATTTTCAAATCTCAAGTTAAAATTTTCAAATCTCGAGTTGGAAGTTTTGAAATCTCGAGTTGAAAGTTTTCAAATCTGAGTTGGAAGTTTTCAAATTCTGAGTTGGAAGTTTTCAAATTTTGAATTGAAAATTTTTAATTTTGAGTTGAAAGTTTTCAATTCTGGGTTGAAAGTTTTTCAAATTTGAGATGAAAAGATGAAAGTTTTTAAAATTGACTTCAAAAATTTCAAATTTCGAGTTAAAAGTTTTCAAATATGGGTTAAAAGTTTTTAAAATTTGACTCCATGTATAGATTTCTTTTCAATCTTTTCAATCTGTTAAACAAAAGCTATCAAAAAAAATCTTACGTTAATTGTCGTTATTATCTCTAACTAACAGGATTAGTTAGTAGGTGTCTCCGAGAAAAAATCCCGCCGCGTGCTCGTTGGCAGCGCATACGCGCGAGCTAGCTTTTCCCCTGAGACTGAGAGCATATGGTCATTGTATGATTCATATGAGAGAGCAGGTGCAATAAGGTCCAATCAGCAGACGGTACAGCTATCCACGTCAATACTATAATCTAAACTGAAAGAGTGAAATGATGAGAGAAAAAGTAAGGGCGCTAATCCTATCGCCTAGCGACACACACAAAAGGCATTGTAGCCAACATTAGAGCAGGTCCAATAGCATGTTATAAGCCAGCTACAAACATATTTTAAAGAGTTAAATAAAGAGAGAGAAGAGCAGCGGGCTACAGATTTATAGCCAGCTATAGCACGGACTCCAAGACACAGTGTGCGTATGACAGGTGGGATCAAGTATTAATAGTATAGTATATAGCTATTATATAAATGGGCTATTAGATTAGCTATAAATGAATTGGAGCTGCTAGTTGGCTATACTATTAAACTTGCTCTTACCATCGGTGTTGGCTGCAACAGCCATTGTTATACTCCCAATGCACTGAGTAGAAAGGATAGAATGATTGGTAGAGATAGAAATTAGACTAGAAAATTATAAAGTGATTTATTGGAACCCGTGTGTACCTACTCAATAGCAATAGCTATTGTACATTCAAGCTGGAGTATCTTTTACTGAGATAAACATTTTTATTGCCGGCTACTAAGGGAGTGTTCGTTAGGTGGAGATAGGAGAGATTGTCTCTCGTTTTCCGCGCGCACGCTTTTCAAACTACTAAACGGTGCGTTTTTTGCAAAAAATTTCAATAGGAAAGTTGCTTTAAAAAATCATATTAATCCATTTTTGAAATTTAAAATAGTTAATACTCAATTAATCATGAGCTAATGGCTTACCTCGTTTTGCGTATCTTCCCAATCTCCTCAATCCCCTTCTCTTCAAACACTCCCTAATTGTACTGAGAATAGAATCATGTGGAAGCTTGTACAATGTATAGGACTAGTAAAGTTCTATGGATGAGCCCACTATGTTGGTGCATCAGCCTTACGGCCTCATCTTTTCATTTATACTTATAGTTATCAGCTAAAATTTATTTTTTTAATCTTAAATTTAGAGTTGATTTTGGGATTTTCTCATCGAATTTTATTTTTCAGCTCTTGCTTTTAGGTCACTAAGAACACGCATATAAAAGTTTTATTCACAAATTATTTTTCGTTTACAAATATGCCGAAACGATGGGGCCTTTAGATAGGTGGGCTCGGACATACTTTCTCTCCCCTAGAGCTAGGCACTCTGACTAGCATCTAGGGCATGTTTAGTTCCCAAAAAGTTTTTCCAAAAACATCATATATATATATATATATATATATATCGAATCTTTAGAGACATGTATAGAGTATTAAATGTAGATGGGAAAAAAACTAATTGCACAGTTATGATGAAAATCGCGAGATGAATCTTTTGAGCCTAATTAATCCATGATTAGCCATAAAGTGCTACAGTAACCCGCGTGTGCTAATGACGGATTAATTAGGCTCAAAAGTTCCATCTCGCGGTTTACTGGCGAGTTATAAAATTAGTTTTTTTTTATTCGTGTTCAAAAACCCCTTCCGACATCTGATCAAACGATAAAACAGGCCCCTAGTTCTATGGTGGAAAGGGATTAGAACAAGTGCTACAATATGTATAGAGTCAATCCTACCTCCTTTTCTCTCCTATAGAACCCTTTTAAGTCTAACATTGCAGATGCTATATGAGGGGTATAAATCGAATTTCAAGTGCAAATTGAGAATAATTGCATATCACCATGAGTAAGTGGAAGCAAGAACTTTTTCGAATTTTGTTTGAGAAAAGGAGCTTGTATTTAACTTATCATTTGGTAAAAGGTAAAATCTCTACATGTCAATCATTTACCCAGGGAAGAAGAGAAGAGGTACACGGAAGACTGAAATTTCAATCAGCGGTTAAGATTAAACATTACTACAATTTTCCGTACATTTCACAATGCAGTTCTTAGTTACTTATGGGGTTTTCCTTCCCACCAAAATAAAATTATAGATTTCCCCTAAAAATAATAAAACTATAGATATATATTTAAGACAAAATAGATTTGTTGCTAGCTCTTACTATTACTAGTTGGTACCCCGCGCTTTCTTACAAGATATGTGAATAAATGCATATTATATATTATATAAATTGTAGATGTATATATTTAAATAATGTGAAAATGATATGAAAATAATGATTTGACATTGCTTGCATCTTGAGTTCTAAAAATAATGATTTGGTTCATTTAAATAACAAAATTATAAATGATATATCATATTTGTATGATATTTAAAATACTCTAGATAATAATTGCTAGTGGGTGATGATGTGGTACACCTGCATGTTATTTAAAATTCTCTAGATAAATTTAAAATACTATAGATAATAATTGCTAGTGAATGATAATGTGACACACTTGCATGTTGAGTTTTAGAAGTTAGTGAAATTAACTTTATAATAATAAGATAGGATGTTGTGTAATGTTTCGAAAACGCTCTGCACCAGTAGGGCCAGCCAGAGAAAAGTACGTATATTTAGCTAGTCATATACTTAGATGGTTCCAAATTGATTCAGTTCATTCATAGCCCATTATAAAGAAGCTTCCATGTTTATAAGAGACGGTCGTTGCAGTCCTCAATTCTAAAAGAACCGGTTAGTTGAACCATGGTTTAGAATTCATATTAAAAAAAACTATTTACTCCATCAAAAAATATATGAACCTAAGAGTGGTATTCATAGAATTAGAACGTATCCTATCCAGCACCATATTATTGTATTATGAGTCAATACAGTTCTGCACTACATTCATCACAGATATAATATTTACTATAGCTTAAATATAGTGGGCAGGTGATAAATTAAAATAGTATTTCACACATATAGGAACAGCATGATGCTCTCCTGGTCCAAAACAATCGAGAAGATGATTAGGATATGCCATTTTGATGCCATCTGCAGATCAATGTTCCATGCTGCAGTTACATTGAAAACCATATCCTCCGGTTATCTTCCAGCCCCATCATTTTCTTTTAATTCT